CCCAAATTAGGATGTATTTTTTAGTTTTTAGGAAAGTTATACTGTAGAGTCCGCAAACTATGGTATAGATCTGAAAATTGATCAATCCTGAAGTACTGACAGCCAATCCAATTTCTTGAGGTCCAAGAATGTCAGAACAGTACAGATATCCTCCAAATGACCCCTTTTTGCAAAGTAGACAGTCCGACGTACTTCATAAGAGGCATGGCGAGTTTTTTGAAGTTGTGTTTTCTTTTGTCATAATTTTTTGGAAAATGAAAAAATGTAAAAAATTATTTTCACTATTTTATTTTTTTTTACATACTGTCACCAGTGCAGTACAGCGTCATCATATAACTGGCATGGCGGTGATCAGGGACACTGACTGGTGACAGTACGAAAAAAAATTATAATTTTTTTTTATTATTTTTCATTTTTAATTTTTCTTTTTTTTTTAAGATTTTGCTTTTGGCAAAGGTCAACTAACCCTTTTAAAAAAAAAAAAAACCTGACAAGTGTAAATTTTCTCTTTTTAACTCCTTTAAACATTAAATTATACTAATGGGCTCTAATTAACTCCTCTTTCCCCTTCTCACTTTAGCTACTGAAATAAATCGTTTTTTTTGTGTTATTTACACATAAAAACTTTTTCTTTCAATAGTTAAAGTAAGAAGGGGAAAGAGGAGTTAATTAGAGCCTATTAGTATAATTTAATGTTTAAAGGAGTTAAAAAGAGAAAATTTACACTTGTCAGGTTTTTTTTTTTTTTTTAAAGGGTTAGTTCACCTTTGCCAAAAGCTGCCTACGCAAATAACATGCGTTGTGCCAGAATTAGTTGTAGTGTTATTTTAAACACAAATTAAAGAATATAGTTTATTATTTATATACAGTAACACTGTTTTAAACTAACATTGATCAAGTAAGAAAAAGTATATTTTTAATTAGATCATTTGGCTGTGAAAAAATCATTTTTGCTAGATGATGGGGTTGATTTACTAAAGCTGGAGAATTCAAACTCAAACTCTGGTGCAGCTGTGCATGGTAGCCAATCTGCTTCTAACTTCAGCTTGTTCAATAAAACCTGGACGTTTATTGGTTTCTATGCTGAGCTGCAACAGATTTTGCACTCTCCAGTTTAAGGCAAAGTTCACACTAGCTTTATTAGAAGGCATTAGACAGGCGTTTGGGAAGTATGTTTAACACTCCTCAAATGCTATAGGGGCATTTGGCAAGAGTTCGAAATTAGTCAAGTGTGAACGAGCCCTTAGTAAATCAACCCCAATATCGCCAAATGAAAGTCCTGTCTGTTCTTAACCAATTGCCCTCCCGAGGATTTACCCCCCTTCCTGACCAGGCAATTTTTTGCGATACGGTGCTGCGTTATTTTAACTGGCAATTGCACGGTCATGCAATGCTGTAAATAAATTAAATTTATGTCCTTTTTATCCCATAAATGGAGCTTTCTTTCGGTGTTCTTTGATTACCTGATTTTTTCTTTTACGCTATAAAAAAATAATAAAAAGAAAAACCAATATTGTTGACATTTTGCTAGAAAACCTATCCAGTAAAACAATTTTAAAAATGAAATTTCACCATAAATTTAGACCAGAATGTATTCTGCTATGTGTCTTTGCTAAAAAAAAAAAAAAATATCCCAATACATATAAATTAATTGGTTTACGTGAAAGGTATATAGCGTCTACAAATGGCAGTACATATACTGGAATTTTTTTTGTATATGTGTGTGTGTGTGTGTGTGTGTGTATATATATATATATATATATATATATATATATATATATATATATATATATATATATATATATATATATATATATATATATATATTAGTAATGGGGGTGATCAGCAAACTTATAGAGGGGACTGCGGTGGGCATGCTGTCACTGGGTGGGAACTAACTGCTACTGTCATCCCCAGTGACACCAATACAGTGATGAGTGCTAATGAAAAGCTATGACACCGGACAGGAAGGGGTTAACATCTGGGGTGATCAAAGGGTAACTGTGTGCTGTTTTACATAATGTGCTATGTGTTTTTCTGTTGTGCAGAGAAATACACAGCAGCATGTTCTTGCTGGCAGGAGAGAGACCTGTGTTGTTTACACTCAGGTCTCTCCCCCTGTCAGTGTTACTTGTCGATCACCGGGTGCTGGCGGGGAATCTCCGGCTGGGACCTTGTGATTGACATCTGTAGCTGCCAATGGCAGCGCGGATAGGGTAGCGCACGCCCCCTACCCGGAAATGCAAATCACGTATATATATACACGTGATTTTGCGCAGCTCTGCCACCCTGTAGGGGTAGTTCAACTATAGGGCAGCGGGAAAGCAGTTAAAAAATGTATCCATGTATTTCTTTATCTTAAGAGGAACTTCAGCTTAATTAGTTTTTTTTTTTTTTTTTTTTTTAAAGGATAAGTTAACCTTTTTGACAAAAATAATAAATGTACATTTTTTGCAGGTTAAAAAAGGGCATTTATTATTTTTGTCCAAAGGAGCCTGGAAAGCATTGCACCAGCATTCTGCAGATCATGAAGTGGCTGGCCATTCTTGATGTCTTATAGTGATCGGTTCATGAATTCCTTCTCCATAACCCTCATACGTATATGGAGTGGCTCTACTCATTCTTTCTACACCTTATCACCTTGCAAAAATGAGTTTATTTTAGCTGTTGGACATTTTGCTGGACAGAGCAACCCTGGAATTAACATTAATAATTCCTACCAGCACATTTTCCTTTAAGCTTAATTAAAGCATATTTAAAGTTGTGAGTTTTAGGGTTTTTTTTTTTTGTTTTTGGATAGAGTAGGGAATGGATAAAACACCATTACGTTTATTTGCGCTGTGATCTTCCTTTATTTCCTGTCCCGAGAAAAGTGATGGGAGGTATCTGAAAAGTAACAGCATTCAGTTAGAAGACAGGTTTCACTAGATCAGTTGTCCCTGTGGGTTTCCCCTTTGTTCCTCACTCAGTGACACCACAGAATTTAAAGTTATAGCAATCGTATAGCTAATCTTTCATTAGTATAAAGTAATTTGTATGCAGGCTTTGAGAGTGGATTTTTTTTCTCCAGTTGAATAAATTCTTCTTTTTAGAAAGTAAATACGGACATGTAAAAAAATATAGAGGAATTCTTACTTTGGGCCTGTGTCAATGGCACCGCTTTGAGGTGCTTGTGAGATCATTCAGAATTCACTGACTGGTACATTCAGCCTGCGGTTGACCTCCTGACCTGGATTTGATCTGCTTCACTATATTTTTGCGTTCCCATATACCTATATGGGAGTGCAAAATTCTTTTGAGGCCCTTTATATAACTGTCTTTAAGCAATTGCGACAGGAACAAATCTTAATACGATAAAGATAATTGTCTTGATTGAGATGATTTCTAGTCTTGGATAGTCCATAAGTAAAGGTTTGAGGTTCTTCTCACGTACAGTAATACCTCGGTTTACAAACGCCTCGGTTAATGTAATTTTTGGTTTACGAATAAAAATCCATTGAAAATAATGCCCCGCAGTAGATCCAACGTCAATCACAATGCCCGCCAGCCCGAAGAAAGAAGAAAAAAAAAGGCTCCGCTTCCGTTGATGGCTTCCAGCCTTCTGCTTGCTCCGGTGGTTTGACATTTCTTAAATATGTAAGGGGCGGGGCCACCCGTCGACATCACGCATGTGACCTCACCCAATGTGACATCAATGATGTCACATGGGGCGGGGTCACTCAGGTGATGTCCCCGAGTGACCCCGCCCCTTACATATTTAAGAAATGTCAAACCACCTGACCAAGCAGAAGGCTGAAAGCCATAATCGGAGCCTTTTTTTTTTTTAATTTATTTTTTTTTTATTCTTTTTTCGGGCTGGCGGGCATCGTGATTAATGTTTGATCTACTGTGGGGGACATTCTTTTAGTTTTTTCTTTTACTAAAGGACTTGTCAAAGACTGTGTGCTGTCTTTTTACACTCTACACTTTTTGTGAATAAGTAGGGGTACCATTTACCCCATACTCATTCACATGGGGGGGCGGGATCTGGAGGCCCCTTGTTAAAGGGGGCTTCCAGATTCCGATAAGCCCCCTGCCTGCAGACCCCCACAACCAGGGGCCAGGGTTGTGGGGAAGAGGCCTTTGTCCCCATCAACATGGGGACAAGGTGCTTTGGGGGGGGGGGGGGGGCGCCTGCCCCAAAGCTCCCCCCCATGTTGATGGCATGTGGCCTGGTATGGTTCAGGAGGGGATGTGGGAGTTCCCCTCAAAATTCATTCCAGACCTGAAGGGCTTAGAATGGATGGGAGGGGGGACCCCACACTGTTTTTTTTTTAATTATTTTTTTTAATTGCCGGCAATTCTTTTACATTCAGCTTTCAGCGGGAACCACGCTGACAGCTGAAACATTAACACATGGTTGTCACTACTAAAACCACATGACTTGATAAAATAACTCATGCAGTATTTTAGTAGTGTTTACTTTTTTCTGATCTCCAGAATGGATTAATTGGTTTTTAATGCATTCCTATGGGAAACTGCGTTTTGGTTTACAAATTTTTCACTATACGAAAAGTCCTACAGAACGAATTAAATTCGTAAACCGAGGTATTATTGTATAGTTCTTGTGATTTTCATATTTTTTAGATTTAATTTTGACCCAGTTTATTACAGCTGGAGCAGAAAATTATGTCTGGGTTCTGTCTCTGATCTTTGGGTAATTCTATAAAAATTGGTTTCCTTGAATTATTGCCACCTCTTTTGAGATAAGGATGTTGACTGAGTTGGATCCAATAGTCTAGCTACCCATGTGGACACGCTGCACATGGCAATGGCTGGCTATTCAGCCTAAAGATGTAATAACTATGTAACTTCTTTTTTTTCCCCACTGTCTCTTCACTATGATGAAAAGTTCATTCACACTTTTTCTAATTTTTTTCTTCAGGGCTGTTATGAACTGATTGTCGAGATTTCAGAACAGATTGGTGGCCGTCTCCCCTGTACTGGACAAGTGACTCAAGATGGCTCATTTACATAGAAATGCAGTTAGTACCACCAATTATATTACTGTTTACTACATTTCTGCTTCTGTCACACATGCATGAATAGGGTATCTTAAAACACTTCATATCATCACCATTCTGCAATCCTCCTCCAGCACCCACTAGAATATATTTTGGAGTTGAGACAGACTTCAAACCACTTATACTTTCTAACCTTTTATAAGTATGCCATACAAAGAGTTCCTCTGCACTTTATAGTTCAAGATTATCCATTAATGCATAAACTTGAATGGATGAATAAAAACCCCAAATTTTTGTGCTGCTTGCATAAGATTATAAAGTGTAGTTCGAAATGGCTATTGAAAATATATAAGCTGTCTTGTCTACCAAGCCATGAGCTTGGTGTTTATTTTAACAGCCGACTCTCAGCTTTCATTTAAAATTGTTCCTGGTAGCTCTACGGGGCTCCAAAGGTGCTGTCCCTCTACCAGTGTCTGCTGTGGTTTTGTGATAAGCTAATGTAAAATTTAGAGCAGGTGGAGGTCTAGGAACATCCATTCCTCGATCTTCTCTGCGATTAATGAACCTGGAAGTGACGTGTATAACATCACCCACATTCAGGGCTATTGTTCCCAGGCTAATCAAGCATGATATTTCCTTGATTAGCTGCAGTGGAGGGCATAGCAGACCATAAAGCAAATAAAAAAAAAAAAAAATTAAAACACCCCTGCCACACCCCAGAATGCAAATAAGCATGTAGGGCATGCACATGTATGTAAACCAAAATCGCGTCGCGTGAGACATTGGCTCAACCGACGGAGTAAAATCATCCTAGGGCCATAACTCATGGTTGTTGGCAACCGGCTTCACATAAATATACAAATGTGAACAGTGAATAAAGTGCTCAATGGTAAACCAGTACCAAAAATTAAAGTGCAAAATAATTAGCATATATGTGACGGGGTGTATATAACAGTCCCCTTTTTGTGTTGTCCCAACTCTTCGTTCCAACTTGTATAACCACCAATGTGAACACTGCACCACCGTGATGACAAATTAGAGGCTTACCAGATCCTTTGTCCCCTTGATTATAGGGGATCAACATACGCTTTATTACAACACTTCCAATCCAGATTCATGTATCATCAAAAGCTCTTCAGACAGCCCCGATCTCATGAAGTTAGCAAATATTTCATATAATGTGAGCAGTTCCTCAGCCAGAAGATAAGACAACAGGTGATGCTGCACAGGTACAGTGTTGACTCTAACAGCTTCTGAGCATGTTTTTATGATGCAGCCGGACTGCATTCACCAATAAAACCACTTTCATATCACTGTTCAATGACCTTGTATGGAGCTTTGATTTCTAGAAATGTAAGGTAATTGAACAGTGATATGAAAGTGGTTTTATTAGTGAATGCAGTCCCGCTGCATCATATTAACATGCTCGGAGGCTCTTAGAGTCAACACTGTACCTGTGTAGCGTCGTCTGTTTATCTTCTGGCTGGTTAACTGCTCACATTACATGGAATATATGCCAACTTCGTGAGATTGGGACCGTCTGAAGAGCTTTTGATGATACATGTGCTCTGGCTTGAGATACATGAGTCTGGATTGGAAGTATTGTAATAAGGCGTATGTTGACCCCCCTTATAGTCAAGGGGTCAGAGGATCTGGTAAGCCTCCAATTTGTCATCACGGTGGTGCAGTGTTCACGTTGGTGGTTATACAAGTTGGAATGAAGAGTTGGGACTATTCATCACAAAAGGGGACTGTTTTTATATATATATATACCCCTATAGGTACTGTCACATAGATGCTAATTATTTTGCACTTTAATTTGTGGTACTGATTTCCCATTGAGCACTTTATTCACTGCTCAAATTTGTATATTTATGTATTGTTTGTGCATAATATTTATATCACTTTGATTGCACTTTAGCGCAACACCAGATATTTATATAGATTTGGTATTTAAAAAGGATATCCTCTTAGTGTGTTTGCTGCTTTGTTCACTATCTAATTTAAGTACTTGCATGATTTTTCATTGTGTTCATTTAACAGGCTTGACATGTTTGCTATCCGTTTACTCGACCTAACCCCTTCTATTATATTTTACCAAAAAATGGGTATTCTATTGTGTTTGCACTAAAATTCATTTTAGTGTATTTTTTTTCTTGAAAATGTGTTTGATAAACAGTTGCACAATTATTGTGTGACGAACAAAAATTACACTTACAATAATTTAATTCTACTGGACCTCTGCTTTCAGAAAATATATAATTTTGGGGAGTTTAAGGTAATTTCCAGAAAAAAAATGCAGATTTTTAACGTGTGTGGAAATAAATTATCCCAGAAGACAATGGTGAAAGGAATCGTATGCTGAGAAAATATAAAGGGTAACATCTCTGAAAACACTATCTACCCAGCTATTTCTGGCCACAGTACCTGCTGAACAAACATGCAGGCGGTGAGCCAGAACTATGATTAAGGACTTAGGAGCAACTTGTCAGCCAGGTAAGAGGCATTTCAAAAAAATGATGGTGGCAGCTGCCATATTTTCTTAGTACTGCTTTAATTTAGACACAAAATAAAAACTCCCTTTGGCAAAAAGAATGTTAGTGGAAAACTGAAAAAATTGTTACCATACTGGGACCCAAGAAGAGAATAATTAGCAATACGTCAACACAGACTGGTAACAATAGCCAAATAATAACTAAAAAAAAACCACATGAATAGTAAAGGTATGTGTTTACTCTCAAGTATAAGCAAATAGGAGAAAATGTAACATTAGTAATAAAACAATAATTCAAATTTATAACAGAATTGATTCCGACTAGGTTGCATATAGCTGTATACTTGAACTCACTGTATTTTCAGTATAATGTAGTTAGATGTTCTGTTGTCAGACTTGTAAAAGTTTCTATAATTGTACTTATGTAAAAAATAACAACAATGCAACTGTTACAGCGCCGTCTGCTGGGCTGCGAAGGAATATCGGGTTTGAGTCTGCTTCACTCGGCAGCAGGTAAAAAGCTGGGGATGTTGAGTGCCAGCCTGTCACGTACCATAGGGAGTGATGAAGGAGAAGATGATACTGATGATGATGTAGAAGAAATAACTGAAATTTCAGACACAGAGGAGACGGTATGTTATAAAGTAAAACACAATTTGTTGTGTGCTGCTTGTAATCAGTTGTTTTACACTAGAATTGCAGGCTAAAACGAACCAGTCTTAACCACTTTACTACTGCGCTATAGCCAAATGCCGGCTACAGCGCGGTAGTCGAGTTCTGTAGTCCATTTGTCATCTTCTCAGAACGTGCCTCCTTTGTACACAGATGATCACATGACATGGTAAAAGGCCAATCACAGCAGACTTTTGCTATGTGATCGGCTGTGTCCAATCATAGGCCACTATGTAAATACACTTGCCAGTTATCGGCATTACTTTCCTCACACTGTCATAGTGTGAAGAAAGTGCTGCCGGTAACCGGCAACTGTCAAAGCAGCTATTTGCACTGATCAGTGCCCTGATTATCGGTGCAGCCCCAAAAGTGCTCAACAGTGGTCAGTCAGTGCCACCTTATCTGTGCAGCCCAACACAGTGCTCATCAATGCTGCTCATCAGAGCAGCCTCATCAACGCATTGTGTTGCATATAGCTGTGTAGTTGAACGCGCTGTATTTTCAGTATAATGAGAAAAATTACCTGTTTGCAAAATTTTAAAATGATCACAGAACAACATTTACCTGTGAAAAAGCAGAGGACAATGCAAAGTGTCAGATGCAGTGGTGTAAAGCAATGCCGCCACTGGACTCTAGAGCAGTGAAGACATGTTCATTGGAGCGACCAATCACGCTACTGTCTGGCCGATGGACATGTTTGGATTTGGCGGTTGCCAGGAGAATGGTACTTTCCTGACTGCATTGTGCCAAGTGTAAAGTTTGGTGGAGGGGAGATTATGGTGTGGGCTTGTTTTTCAGTGGTTGGGCTTGGTCCCTTCGTTCAGTGAAGGGGACTCTTAAGGCATCAGCATACCAAGACATTTTGGACAATTTTATGCTCACAGCTTTGTGGGAACAGTTTGGGGATGGCCCCTTCCTGTTCTAACATGACTGTGCACCAGTGCACAAAGCAAGGTTTATAAAGACATGGATGAGCAAGTTTGGGGTGGAGGAACTGACTGACCTCAACCCAATAGAACACCGTTGGGATGAATTAGAGAGGAGACTGTAAGCCAGGCCTTCCCGTCCGACATCAGTGCCTGACCTCTTCTGGAAGAATGGTCAAACATTCCCGTAGACACACTACTAGACCTTGTGGACAACCTTCCCAGAATAGTTGAAGCTGTTATAGCTGCGAAGGGTTGCCCAGGTCAATATTGAACCCTACGGACTAAGACTGGGATGCCTTTAAAGTTCATCTGCGTGTAAAGGGAGGCGTCCCAATATGTTTGGCAATATACGTGTGTGTGTGTGTGTGTGTGTGTGTATAATATTGTGTGTGTATATTATTTATTTTTTTAAGGCAGAGGTCCTAGAGAATAAAATAGTGGTTGTCGAATATTTTTGTGTAACACAGTATTTGCGCAACGGTTTTTCAAGCGCAAACTTTTTTGGAAAATGCACTTGACTGAATTTTAATGCACACAAACACAATATAATACCCAATTGTTTGATATTCGTTTACTCAGCATAACATCATATTTCATATTTTACCAAACGTCATGCTTTAAAATTGCATATACCCGTGTGCCAAACTTCGGTACCTAAAAATCTTTTTGGAGAGATCTGGTGTCTCCTCTGGCATCTAAACCATCGAATCGGACTGAGATTGGTTTGATCCGATGCTTTTTATAGGCTGTAATGGCTTGCTTACATGAGACTGAAAGCAGAAGTGACTACAGCTTCGTTGCTTCCAGTTTCTGACATCACACAGTGCAAGGAATTGCATCTCTTTTTTTTGTACTGTGTTTCAGGAACCAGATGCCACCAGTCGCTTCCTTACCAGGCTCCCCAGTGGCTAAAAGGGTGTGTGGGGGGAGGGGGGACGGACCTCCTTCCGCCTTCTGTAAAAGTAATCCAGTGGCTCTTTAGCCTATGGACAGGAAGTGGTTAAAGTGGCTGTCAGTACACTGCTAAAGTCAATCTAACCCAAATCTGTAAAATGTCTGGCGCCAGTATGATGTTGAAACTTTGCATTGCAAATGTGGGTATCCTACTTTTCTCAGTGTGTGGAATACCTGCTCCCCCACTGCATGTTGTGTATCCTCCTGGCTTGTACGTCACAACAAATTTGTAAGCGTGTGGCAGGAACCACAGCACACATCGATGCAACAGGTATTCCACACAACTGGAATACGGGGATCAGCAGTGTAGCACAGGTAAGTATACAGCATATAACTTCCCTTTACAGACTGGGGTTTTTTATTTTCAAATCTGTATGGACCAGGTCACTAATCATTTCCTACTCTATCCAAAAATAAAATGTTTGCATACCATCTGCAAATATTACTTCTATTTTATTTAAAGTGTTACTTAACCCATGACCCTTCATTCACTGTATCCAGCCTCTCACAATATACACACAACATGGAAATGCAAATATTTTAGTAAATATCAACTGCTAAACACCTTTGCTCATCAGTAGTGTATAGCAGTCTTGTAACTTCTATCAGTGTCCAGCTGCGTACTGGTAGAGTTTGTAGGAGGAGTTTTCATTCTGCTTTGAATGTCCTATGAGGCTGCATGACCCCTGACCTTCTGTCTGGACAGTGCTGATGGGCCCTGTGCTGATCACATGCACCCTCCCCCAAAAAAAAACAATCTCTAGTAATGCACACTAAATTGAGCATGTGCAGAGTGACTCCTAGAGCTCTGTACTATCAGCAGATAGATTGGGGACTGGAAGAAGGGGAGGATCGGAGAAGACAGGATTAAACCGCCTTTTTTACAAAATGCAGAGGATTAACCCCTTAGGTTCCACAGTGAGTATAACAAGCATGTTTTACTGCATATACAGACTGATTTTACAGTTGTCGATTTCGTAACACTTTAAATCCGTTATTTTGCGTTTTGCTTGTTCAGATTCACTCTTAGAACTGCAAATTCATTGTTGTTTTCTGTTTGTAGGAGCCGCATAAAGAAACATCAAAGCCAATAATTATAAGAGATCAGCCTACTTTGGTTTCCAAAGCTAGCAAAAGCCACAAGAAGGTATGGATGTTAAGTGATAGAGAATTCTATCTTCTCTTGCTTTTTAGATTGAGGAAAACAATGGAGCGTTCTGTGAAATCATATTTTAAAATAATAGGTTTTCTGGAAAATGGTTTGATTCGTCTTCCATTTACATTGTACCTATATTTTCTGGTTTCATATACTGTACAAACTTATAGATGTGCATTCTCTCTTTGACTGCATCATTCTGTATGTGAGACCATTTATTACCTATTATACTAATCATATCTAGAAAAAACTATAATACTGGTCAAAGATTGTAGAGTCCCATACATTCTATGTTGTAGATGGTCTTAGCAGAGGAGAACAGTCCATATTCACTACATATACCCAAGAATTTCATCTGCGAACACTGCTATGGGGCCTTCAGGAGCAGCTACCATCTTAAGAGGCATTTGTACATCCATACAGGTAAGGTAATGTGCTTCAGGCTTAGATAGTGCTTTGCCTGCACTATATCCTCAGAGTAATATAGTATCATTTTGTAGGAGAGCGCCCATATGAGTGTGACATGTGTGATATGAAGTTTATTCAGAAGTATCATCTGGACAGACATAAACGGGTCCACAGTGGAGAAAAACCGTACCAATGTGAGCGATGCCAGCAGGTAAATATTCTCATTTACACTATATTTTGTTGCTGTTCTTCTTTTAGGTTATAGGAATTAATTAATAAAAAGACTAAACTTTCTATATATGTGAAGCCACTATAATTATCGGGTCAGGGCAACCATTAAATACCATCATATGCCTTTATTATATTATGTACTTAACATTCAGACTAAGATGTTAAGGACTGTCAGCCTATGTTTACAATTTTCCAAATGCCCATTAAGGAAAAGGTAGTAATTTAATGTTGTGCACTGGGATATGGTCTTCCAGGCTACAAAACATAAGATTTATGAGCTATGATTTTACAAATTAAACAGATTTTTGAAAAATATCAAAGGTCAGATTGCGATGAGTAAATAGATACCAAAACATGTCAAGCCGTGAACTTGTGCCATGCCATGCCCTGCCTGCCCATAGTCTTTATCGGTTAAGTGTTACTGTAAATGGTGGCCCTACAATTATTGCTCTTGCTTCGATGTTCGCTGCAATATGTAGCGTAGTCATCCTATTTATACGAAGATGCATGTGCTTAGCGCGACCGGACTTTAAAAAAAAAAAAAACAACTTTATTGCTATCACATACAGTGCCTTGAAAAAGTGTTCATACTCCTTGAAATTTTCCACATTTTGTCCTGTTACAACCAAAAATGTAAATGTATTTTATGTGATAGATCAACACAAAGTGGCACATAATTGTGAAGTGGAAGGAAAATGATAAATGGTTTTCAAAATTTTTTACAAATACATATGTGAAAAGTGTGGAGTGCATTTGTATTCAGCCCCCGGAGTCAATACTTTGTAGAACCACCTTTCACTGCAATTACAGCTGGAAGTCTTGAGGGTTAGGGACCGATGTGAATGTACAATATATATATGTGAAAGCGCGTAAATTGATGGCGCTATAGGAGTACCTGAAATAAATAAGTCTTTTTAGGTATGTCTCTACCAGCTTTGCACATCTAGAGAGTGAAATGTTTGCTCATTCTCTTTGCAAAATAGCTCAAGCTCTGTCAGATTGGATGGAGAGCATCTGTGAACAGCTATTTTTAAGTTTTGCCCCAGATTCTTAGTTGGATTTAGGTCTGGACTTTGACTGGGCCATTCTAACACATGAATATGCTTTGATGTAAACCATTCCATTGTAGCTCTGGCTGTATGTTTAGGGTCGTTGTCCTGCTGGAAGGTGAACCTCCGCCCCAGTCTCAAGTCTTTTGCAGACTCTAACAGGTTTTTTTGGTATGATTGCCCTATATTTGGTTCCATCCATGTTCCCATCAACTCTGACCAGCTTCCCTGTCCCTGCTGAAGAAATACATCCCCACAACATGATGCTGCCACCACCATGTTTCACGGTGGGGAAGGTGTGTTCAGGGCGATGTGCAGTGTTCATTTTCCACCACACATAGCGTTTTGCTTTTAGGTCAAATAGTTCAATTTTGGTCTCATCTGACCAGAGCATCTTCTTCCACATGTTTGCTGTGTCCCCCACATGGCATCTTGCAAACTGCAAATGGTACTTCTTATGGCTTTCTTTCAACAATGGCTTTCTTCTTGCCACTCTTCTTGCCTTTTGCAATGTTCATGACTTATAGTTATCCTGGTGACAGATTCTCCCACCTGAGCTGTGGATCTCTGCAGCTCCTCCAGAGTTACCATAGGCCTCTTGGCTGCTTCTCTGATTAATGCTCTCCTTGCAAAAAATACTGATTTTAACCTATAAACAAAAAGTGCCTGAGATGGCCTGGAGCTAAAGTGTTTAAACTTGAATAATGAATTCCATTTTGAATTGGCTGTTGAAGCAACAGGTACAGTTAGCTTCTGTAAATATTAAAGGATACATTCACCTTTTTGACCAAAAAATACTAAATGCACGTTTTTGTTTTTTTGCAGGTAAAAAAATGTGCATTTATTATTTTTGGTTTCAGGAGCATGTAAACTATTGCACCAGCAATCAGCAGGTTGCCGGTGCCATGCAGGTCTGCAGATCTGTCAGTATATGTGCTTTCCTGTATGGGGTTCCACGGCGCCATGGTAGTTCATGGAGAACTACAAGCCGACAGCTGCTACGGCTGTCACGACTTTTAGTTCATTCATAGAACTGTGAATGAATGTTGCGGCTGTGTGGGCAGAGCCCCACACGGCCACGCTCTATTCACAAAGTTACAGCTTGTACAGGGAACTTCTCCCCGTGCACTGTCACAGGCAGGGGGGGCAACCGGCAGCAGCCGCAGCATTGGGAACGTTACATGTTCCCAAAGGTGAACTTATCCTTATGATTTAAAAGAAAAATGTAGGAAAAAAAACAATTAAAATGTAATCTGTAAAAAGAAACATTAAAGTATAAGTTCACCTTTGGGAACATGTTACATGTTCCACCTGTTTATAGGGTGGAACATGTAACCTGATCCTGCTCCCGAGCTGCTGCATCTAGCAACAGCTAGAAAGGATCTTCTCCCCTCGCTAGCAGTCACTATTTAAAAAAACCCAAAACACAGCCGCCAAGTTTCATTTATTGGACAGTAAAAGTTTAAAATATTTCTTGTGTGTCTACTGACGGTATTTGCATTATAACGTTGGATGGCCTAAGCCTGTCAATTAGATGAGACCTAGTCCAGACAAATCTTCACCAGCAGTGTAAACGTCTGCGCAGTCTTTTTTTTTTTTTTTTTTTTTCTTGCTGGTAGCTGCTACTATTTAGTAATTTTGTTTCATTAACTTCGTAATCTCTTTCCTTCACATAATCTGTGTTCCTTCTTTTTTGTAAGGCCTTTTCAAGGACGGACAGACTTCTGAAACATAAGAGGATGTGTCAAGGATGCCACACCAACATTGCCGAGACAGAGTATGTGTTGTAATGTATACCTTTGTACTGGACGCCGTGTTCTCTACGTCAGACGTTGCTTCCCATACTCAGGAGTCTTATCCTGAGTCCTGCTGTTCCCAGCATCTGAAAAGACTAACCCAAAGCAAGGGGACTGGTAATAAAGTGATAAACATACAGTATGCTCCTTATCATCTGCATTATATCACAATAAATAAACCATTGCATATGGTTAGAGACCATAGACCTAGTTCTAAGAATGATTTAAAATGGAACCTGCTCCAGACCACTCTGAGTGAACATCTAACAGTCACTTCCAGGAAGTGTGTAAAACATTGTTTATAACATACACACGTCTAATTGAAACCATGGCAGTATCCGATTATCATATTATCCAGATATGTTTCCTTTCACTAATAAGTATACTCTTCTCTAATTTTACAAATAACTATGTAGTGAGAGGCGCATTTATAGACACTGGATGTACACAAACTTCCGGCGGTTCACCAAAAAAAGACATTAAGTGAACTCTGTATTAAGGCAAATGCAGTGTACAGTATATTTTTCAGTGGGAACATTTACATACATGTATGTGCGGTTTTTTTATTTTTTTTTTTTATACTTTGAGACCATTCATGTTTCCTCCTCCCCCCCCTCCCCAAATTTACAAAAGCAGTGAGACTTTGTTTCACAATGACTGTTTAAAATAATTGAAGTTTTCAGTGGGAATTACTAGTGTTTCTACACGTTAACTAGATTTTTCTGCACTTTGTTTACCAATTACTGTATATATTATGTCTTGCGGATAAGTGAGATTGTTAAAATCTGTGTTCCAAAAAGGATCTAATGTACATTTTTAACATCCCAAGCATTTGTAAATAGTATACTGTGATTCAGTCATTCACTGCTAATTGCTACTATTCTTTTGTGTTCTTAGCAGAAATTTTGACATTGCTGAGAGAAATATGAAGACTGTTATTGCTGTTCTCCTGAAAATTTATTTTTGCCTGGCTATTACATGTTTTAAGTCACTGACTCTGAACTAGTATACAGATCAGGAGAGTCACAGTAAAGTCGGGACTCCTAATCTGCTGACTTGTCCTGGGTTAGTGAATCAAAATATTGAAGCTTAAGCACCTGTATGACAGCCAGGCAATTGGCTTTTACAGAAGTCACCAATTGCAGCCTCAACTTAAGTGATGGTTTCTTTTAATGGCTTCATACTTGTCACATTCTGACTTTTTTAGTTCTGAGGCCAAAATTAATGGGTCTAGATCCGCCATTCTCAACTTTTTTTTTTTTCTTATTTTACCTCAGAGGAACCCTGCAGTAATTTTGATTCAGAAGCCCCTGCTAAAACAGGTCAGAATGCCCCCTTACAAGCAGCTATAAAGATAATTGGTGTCATGCTGCTGACTCTGCCAATGGGTGTTCACCCTGGAACTAGGCAGACACCATCAAACTTGAGATTAATTAGCCACAGCTTATGGCAACCTTAACAACTTCTGTAGTAACACTGGTTGAGAGAGGCTGGTCTAGATCATGTGATTTTCATACACATACTCTGAATTCACAAGAACAAATTATTTATGCTCTTTTAAAAGCAAAGTGTTTTTTGGTGAACTTAAAAACATGAAAGGCACTAAAATGTATAAGTATACAGCCAATAGCGCTTTTTAACTTATCAATATGTGCAAATAAGATATACAGTATAAATGTGCCCAGAAAAAACTCCTTAATCATATACAAGTGCAAATTCCAAAGTATTGTGTATACCACAAATTCCAACTATAATTACATATCAAAAGTAGTGGTGCACCGAAATGAAAATTCTGGTGGCGAAAATTCAGGATGCACTTGGCCAAAAACCAAAATGGCCACTTTTTAAAAAATATACAGTGACGGAAATAAGTATTTGATCCCATGCTGATTCTGAATGTTTGCCCACTCACAAATAAATGATCAGTCTAAAAATTGAATGGTAGGTGTGTTGTAACACTGAGAGACAGGATAGCAGCAAAAAAATCAAAATAAATACATGTGTAACAAATTATGCACTGATTTGCATGTTCATGAGGGAAATAAGTATTCGATTCCCTATCATTCAGCAGGATTTCTGGCTACCAGGTGTCTTTCATACAGGTAACAAGCTGTGATTAAAAGCAATCTCTTAAAGGGAGTGCTGCTAATCTCATTTTGTTACCTGTATAAAAGACACCTGTTCACAGGAGCAATCAAACAATCAGATTCCAAACTCTCCACCATGGCAAAAAGCTGCTCTAGGGACAAGATTGTAGACCTACACAAGGCTGGACTGGGCTACAAAACTATCGCCAAGCAGCTTGGTGAGAAGGTGATAACAGTTGGTGCAATCATTCGCAAATGGAAGAAACACAAAACAACTGTCAGTCTCCCTAGGTCTTGTGCACCATGCAAGACATCACCTCGCGGATTGTCAATGATCATGAGAACAGTGAGGAATCATCCCAGAACTACACGTGAGGATCTTCTCAATGATCTCCAGGCAGCCTGGACCACAGTCACCAAGAAAACAATTGGTAACGCGCTACGCCGACAAGGATTGAAATCCTGCAGTGCCCGCAAGGTCCCTCTGCTCAAGAAAGCAAATGTCCAGGCCCGTCTGAAGTTTGACACTGAACATCCGAATGATGCAGAGGAGGACTGGTTGAAAGTGTTGTGGTCAGATGAGACCAAAATCGAGCTCTTTGGCATCAACTCAACTATCTGTGTTTTGGAGGAGGAGGAATGCTGCCTATGATCCCAAGAACACCATCCCAACTGTCAAACATGGTGGTGGAAACATTCTGCTTTGGGGGTGTTTTTTTCCTGCTATGGGGACAGGACAACTGCACCACATCAAGGGGACGATGGACGGGGCAATGTACCGTAAAATCTTGGGTGAGAACCTTCTTCCCTCAGCCAGGGCATTGAAAATGGGTCGTGGATGGGTGTTCCAGCATGACAATAACCCAAAACACATGGCCAAGGCAACAAAGGAGTGGCTCAAGAAGAAGCACATTAAGGTCCTGGAGTGGCCTAGCCAGTCTCCAGACCTTAATCCGATTGAAAATATGTAGAGGGAGCTGAAAGCTCGAGTTGCAAGACGTCTGCCACCAAACCTTAATGACTTGGAGAGGAACTGCCAAGAGGAGTGGGCCAAAATTCCTCCTGAGATGTGTACAAACCTGGTGGCCAACTGCAGGAAACGTCTGATTGCCAATAAGGGATTTGCCACCAAGTCATGTTTTGTTAAGGGAATCAAATACTTCTTTCCCTCATGAACATGGAAATCAGTGCATAATTTGTTAGACATGGATTTCTTTTGAATTTTTTGTTGATATTCTGTCTGTGTTACAATACACCTACCATTCAATTTTTAGACTGATCATCTCTTTGTGGGCAAACATTCAAAATCAGCAGAGGATCAAATACTTTTTTCCTTCAGTGTATATATGCAGCAGAATGCATATTGGCCTACATTTTGAAGAAATTAGATTTTTTTAAAAAATTTTTTATTGGATGCTTTATAGCAGAAAAAGTAGAAAATGTGTTTTTGTGACCTCTTTCATAGCGCACCCCCCCCCCCCCAAAAAAAAAAAAACCGCAGTGGTGATCATAAATTTAGTTAATAGAAAAGGCAAACAATGCCCCATCATTGGCATTAGTGGAAGGAATGTGCCCAATCATTGGTGGCAGTAGGATGAATAATGCCCCATCATTGGCATCAGTGGGTGGAATGCTTCATTCTTAGTGTCAGTGAAGAGAATAATGCCCCATCATTGGTGTCAGTGGAGGAATATTGCCCCATCCTTGGTGTCAGTGAAAGGACTAGTGCCCCATCCTTGGTGTCAGTGAAAGGACTAGTGCCCCATCATTGGTTTCATTGGGAGGAATGGTGCCCCAGCATTAGTATCAGTAGGTGAACTGCTTCATCCTTGGTGTTAGTGAAGGGAATAGTGCCCCATCATTGGTGTCATTGGAGAAATAATGCACCATTGTTGGTGTCGGTGGGAGAAATAGTGCCCAAGGTCCAGATAAAGGCAAGGAAAGAGCCACATCTAGCCCCGGCCGCAGTTTTTGGAGACCACTGCTATAGAGGATGAGGCAGCCTAGATATAAAACGGTGTGTAACATTCTATCATCACTCTTCTCCGGCCAGGCACATGTCGCATGGGAACACTCACCCAGAAGTCTTTCAATCGCTGCCTCCTCTGACTTTGAGTTCAGTTTTCGGATCAGGGCTCTTCGCAAACCACATGCTGCTTTCTTCTGCCACATCACTGTCACACAGGATTTGCAAAAGGAAACACGTGCCCAGAAGCACACAAAAAGGTGTACCAGGAAAAGCGGTCCCCGTGTTTTGCTATATGGGCTCTGAGGTCCTCCTAGCTTCCAGGATGCCATAGGTTCACCCAGTCGGATGAGGGCAGGGTGTGGCCAGGTCATGCTGATGTGTGGTGGATGCCTGAGGGCCGCAATCATCCTCACCTGTATCTGCTCACTTTTTCCTATCGGCAAAATGCCAATAGGTATATTTTCGGCCGATCTGTTTCAGCTGCCGGAATTTCGGTGCATCCCAAGTAAAAAGTACTGTTGTATCCACCGATACCACCAGTTACTATTCCACCATGTGTGACTGTTAACACTCACCAAATCACATTGACCCCCTTGTTATACAGCAAGAAAAGTCATATTGCACTTTATGGTCACCCAAGGACCTGGTTGGATCTCCTGCTCTGCATCTTGTTCTGCTGCCACCTCCTCATCAACAGGCGAAACCAATACTTCACTGGCTCAAATGCCATATAACTCAAAAAGCGAAGAGGACCTTTTAGTAAAACAAATGGTTTTTACACTGAGAGGGTTTCTCTTCTGTTTTTGGATTATCTTGTATAACAAGGGGGTCATTGCGATTTGGCAAGTGCAGAGTGTTTCACCTTTTTAAGGACACTTATTACATATTATTGTTGGAATTTGTGGCATACACAATACTTTGGACTTTGCACTTATATATGATTAAGGAGTTTTTTTTTCTGGGAACATTTATGCTGTATGTCTTATTTGCACTATATTGATTATAAGTTAGCAAGCACTATTGGCTGTATACATTCATTAAGATCTTTAAGATAAGAAATGGCAGCTGCATTTATATGATTGTAAAACATTTGGCGCAGGTGGTTATGGTATATGACCAAAATGTATATGACAAGGTCGTGTCCTAGTTTGAAAAGCTGAGAGCTTTGTGTGTGAAATTTTATTTTTCCAATCGTACATCTTGGAACACAGAATGCTTATTCAGATTCATAGGGTTATGCTGCTGCTTTCAGGAGATTTAACACTGGCAAAATAAATCTAAGGACAACCTAGTAGAACTCCTCCCATTCCCGGTATGCCTCCTGTTTTTTTGCTAGTTTCCAAGGAGACTGGTGGCCTTCTCTCATCAAGATTTATTTTTTATCCAGCAAGTTTCCTTAAGTGCTGCAGAGCCAGAAAGGTTTTTTTTTTTTTCTTTGCAGCTTTTGGCTGATTCTCAGTATTGTCATGGAAGCCATACCCAGATCCCACTGAGAAGAAAAGGCTGGGCCAGCCTATGATGTGTATTTTGCATTGGATTGTGCATAAGGTGCTTGCTTATGTACCTGTGGTGAAACATGTCAGCCACAGAGTGCTTTACATGTTCGGGAACGCAATGCACTTGTCTGGTGAAATCCTGCCCCTGGAGATTCCTTAGGGAGTATACCTGCCGGAGCAGTCAAGTCTAGTGAGGGTGGCATGCTGTCTGGATCCTGCCTCTATGTGGTCTGGGGGAAGGTGTAACTGGAGTTTATTTCTGTGCTTGCTTCTGTCGCATGGGCAGTGGCAAGAAGGGGAAGCAAAGGGTTTGGGCCCATCTTCTTATGGGCAAGTCTGATCTATGTTGACCATAGTGCATGTGTGTGCCATTTTCTCTGTGAACTTGTGGGTATCATTGCATTCCCACTATCCCATTTTGAGTCTACATGAGGTCTACAAACCTTTGGACTCTACCGGAGCTTCCCGTTTCTTTACAAGTGACTTCATCTCAGATGGCATTAACCCTTTTGCTCCAGCAGCGAAGTTGTGAGTTCCCTTGGAGGCTGTTTCTCACTGTGTACTTGCTATGGCAAATGAGAAGTGCAAGAGCAGCAATTCATGCGGACCTGGTCAGGGAGTCTTGATGTGTCCCTATCAAAGGACCAGACACGAATAGCCCAAATCACTGTTCCTTGCCTAAATTGCCATACTCCTGTGGGTCTTCCTTAACCCATATATGGGTTAACCCTTCTTTGATCTTTTCTAATGAAGGATTCTCTTCTATTATGTCTGAGTTTATGGGCAGACTTGACAGCACACTGAAAATGCAGGGGCAGAAACTGTTTCCATTCCGTCTCCTCTAGAGTTCATTTCTAAATTTCCTTAGTCTGCAGTTTTTTGTGCACACACAACTGAGGTTGAGCTGGATTGTACTTTTTTTCTTATTTGAGGATTTGTGTGGAAGCAGTTGCAGTCTGTAGACATTGATCCAAAACTGAAGGGATACCATTTCAGTCTTTATTGATGCAGTCCACACGTTTGAAATTTGGCGCTGCCTGCATTGGCTAAACATAAAGCGACTATCCCAGGTTTTCTGAAGAGCCCTCAATCTTTTAGACTTTTCCAGCGCATTCCCTATCGCATCCAGACCTGATTATGGCTTGGACAGAACTTCACTTTCCAGCACTGACCATCTTGCATGTTCCAGGTGGGGCAGAACTGGCAGACAGACTTCTTCATTTGGCAACATCTGGACTCTGAAGACTGTTCTGTTTACCCTCTGTTACAGATGGGGGGCTTCCAGATGTTGACCATCCTGGCTTCCAGGTTCAATAACATACTTGGCGTGTTTGTCTGCAAATCTAGGCATACTGTAGTGTTTGCAATGAATGCTCTGGTAACTCTGTGGAATCAGTTCAACCAGATCTATGCTTTTCCTCTAAAGCAAATTCCCCACTGTGACGGATCGCCTGGGTGCCGCCTCCAAACCCTTCCAGCAGACCAATAGCTAATATCAGCCCCTTACCCTAAGCATCATACACAGACAAGATGAGGTAAAAACCAAAGGAATAACTTTATTGTACAGAAATACAGGTTTTTATACAGTTAAAAAATAGGGGCCTTAATAAACAGATTACACATAACAGCAAAAGACCCCGACATCAGGTTGTTTTTGTGCTGGTTATAATCTTCTGCTTTGAGTCTCTGAGTGTAGGAGGGGGTCGAAGCAGTCAATGCTGGTTTGGGCTGTTGATTCTATATGCCAGCAAACACAGAGGCCCTAAATCTGTATCCGGGTCCTCTAGTTCTCAGAGTCTGTGTGTTTCGGGGAGACATGGACTTACTTGAGGAACCTAGAGCTACAATGTTACAAGCTGTTTTGTCATATTTAAAGCTATATGTTTGTTCCAACTCTTCAAAAATTCTTAAATGGGAACATTATGTGTAGAAGCTTGTAAGTTCAGACTGAGACAAAAATAAATAATACATTTTTTTTCAAGACATTCAAATGCTAAACTGTTTGTATTATTTTTCCTATCAAACTTTTGTTGGTTATTTTTAACAAATACATGTACTAATTATAGCAGGGATTGGTTGCAGTATGCCAGCATTCTCTCTTTAGGGAAATAGTTTCAGCCACATGCTGTAAATCCTGCTTATGGGTCTGCATGAGTCTAAATAGTGCAGAGTAAAATGTATTCCTGTACAGAATTGCCTATAATTAAAAAAAAAAACACCTTTTGTATGTTTCATGTGAAACTGATAATGATCTCTTTAGAAGTCCATAGAGTAAGCTAATAAAAGGACTTGTGATTTGTCTTTTTTTTTTTTTTTTTTTTTTTTTTTATTGTGGTATTTTTTTCTTTTCTGCATCTGTGTAACATTTAGAAACCCTGTAGAAACTTTGGGTAAAGCAGTAATGTCTCCACAGGCAAGTCCTTGCATAAAAATTCTGCAAATTTTTGTCAGTTCAGTAATGCAGCACTGATGACAGGCACTACTAAATGTTTACTCAGATATATGGCTATAATACATTATGTTTATTTTACAAAATTGCATTTTTAACTTTCTAAAAAAAGTTGCTCTTGACATTGTTAGAAATTGCAGTAAATGGAGAATAGTTGATACAGTACTTAAAGCCATTTTAAACCCAAGAGAAAACATTTATTATATTGCAGCTTACCAGCTTTCTTATATTTTCACCTGGTGATCTGGCCAGTACACTCTCCTGCAAATGTACCAGTTAGAGGGTTGAGAAACCATTTACTACTACCAGGGGTGCTACAATGTTCAGCTTTTGTTTATATAAAACCTTTATCCTAGAAGGGAAAAAAACTTTTGCTTTAACTACTTGCATAACTACAGTGTGAGCTGGACTTTGGCTTAAATTTGTTAGTGTATCCAATTCTGCTAGTAGATCTAACGCTTCCTTCCCCCAGACTGACAGTTCTGCTCTGCAAGGGTTCCCCTGTGCTCCTTCATCCTGAATTTAGACTCTCTAATACAGGAGGTGTGTTACTGGCCTCACCAGGTGAAAACAGTGTTGGCGGAGCCATACAAAAACTCACGCAGCCACCACATCTAAGGATTGGTAAGCTGCAAAATAATCCATCTTTGGTTTTGTTTGAATACCGCTTTAAAGTGCATTTCTTCTTTTATTGCTGTCTATGTCCGTATTGGGGAAATTCATCCCTATTTGTATTGGTGTCCAGTTTCACTAAGAGGGAAAGTGGGGGAAATCCAAAATTTTAGAGTTATCCCCTGAACAGGAGGTAAGAGATCTTCCAGCGAGGACACCTACCTAAAGAGGTGATTTCCTACTCATTTTTGGCGATTTCTTCTAACCTCCTGTTATCTCTCTGGACTGGGAATTTAATGTAAATTTTCCCAATGTTACACAGACAGAAAAAAAAAATAATAACCTTGCAGGAGGTTTTGACCCTTCCCTACTCCATTCAAAGCTAAAAAATGGTTATATATACTCTTTGTTTTAATAGTTTTGTTTTAAACCATTGATCTTTTTTTTTTTTCTTCTGGGGCTGTCCAGCACCAGTCGTCAAGGGCCACAGACCACACAAGTTGTTGGGCTGATACAGTGTTACTTGGAAAACTACATTACTGCACAGTTACCTTGTAAATGTCCTTTCTTAAATATAACCATTATATGGAAATGTAGTCACTGGATGTATGTTAATTATACTTAATTTCTAGAGCCGTTACTGTGTTTTGCTCACTCCACTTCTTCCAAATTTAAATTTACTGACCCTGGCCATGTAAATTGCAATCAGAATAATGTTGTGCCTCAGTGATGTCACATACATCCTGAGCTGTTATAGTGTGAACATTATTATACACAGGATGCCAGAGCTCTAAAAGTATGTGAAGGGATTATGGCCTGAAAACCATAAAACAATTGAGTTTTAAGGAATGGTTGAACTCTGAGCAGCCTTGCTAATGTTATAAGTGTAGGAAAGCTAATTTTCCCAATATCTATAGCAGAACTATACAGTGATAAATCAACTACATAGGATTAGAGATCCCTTAAAGTCATTATTCTCTGTTAATTACAGAAATCCTAAGCCTGTGGGAGGAACTTGGCCCTTGAAGACTGAGTTGGACAACACTAATATAAGGTATTTTTTTGAATGGCGATGGGTTTCTTTTTTGTTAGCTAAGTTTGCCCTTTTCTTGAATATTCATTGAGGTCTAGGTTTTAGGAGAGCTAGTGTTGTCCTACCTGGTTGGTATTTTGTAATTATACAAATATGGCAGTTTTTTTTATTCATCCCTGGAGATGTTGGGGCAGTCAGTTTCCCTGTTAACTACATTGTATAATCTGGCTCTTCTTGCTTGCCAGTGTGTGTAGGATATTTTAATAAATTTGTGAATTCTTTACTTAATGTTTCAGATGTGTTTTCTGTTACAAGTTGATGCATTTAAAAAAAACTAAATGTATAAAAAAATAATGCTTGAAGATATCTATATTAGGGGAAGATGTATCTAAGCACATTATATTTTTTGGTATTTTTGATTTGTATTCACCTGATATAGAAATGGTATAGTACAAAAATATGTGAAATGCATCATTTTTTTATTATCAACAGTTTGCTTCATGGAGGGTGTGGCAGGTATGCAAGATTTTATCCAGGTTAAAAGGTTTGGATTTTGGAAGAGGCTTATAACTGCTGTCATACCATTAAAGAGCACGTACAGTTTATACAGGAAGGATGGGAGTGCAACTACTTGCCAACATTTTGAACTGTGCCATTTCCCTTTTCTTTGACTAGGAAGGGTTAAAAAAGCTCTCTTATGCATTCACAAGCTTTACCTAATCTTGTTTATGCAGAACACCAAAGTACTTGCCACAGATCCAGTTTGTATTCCTGGGTGGCTGATGTACTGCAACTAAAGCTGGCCGTAGATGGACCAAAATTACGCCAGTTTAGCATGGACCATGCAAATTTCAATCTACCTATGGGCATTCCAATTCATGAGCAATCCATCTACCGGTCGACATGTCTTGAAGGGGCTTGTTGGAAAAATCTTTCTTCGATCAGCACATGTAGCCAATCTGCTGTGATACTGATCGGTGTATTATGGTCGCAGAAGAGTCCCGCTCTCAGAAAACAATGACACAGCAGGAAAAACCCCCCCAAATTCAGTTGTCTGCTGGAGTTTATCATTGTCTACTGGAGTTTAGCATAAGTAATGTGCTTTTTACAAATGTATATTGCTGTGGCTGTTAGTTTAATGCCACATTTTGGTGATGTCGTGATGGGATGGAAGAGAAGATAAAATAAACCACAGAAAGAAAACTGGATGGAGATACTGCTACCATGGGTATTTTCAAATAGGACGAGCAGTTCTGAAATAGGTTTTGAGTTAGTGTGCTTTTTGTAAAATGAAATTCAATACCAACATATCAATTATAACTAGCCAGGGTAGCAGTTTCATCCGATACAGCATCCTTCTTTTCTCCTTTGACAGTGTCTGCTTTCCCAGCCTCAGCAGTATCTTTATTTACGATTATCTGACTGAAAGCCTTTAAAGACCCCTTTCTCGGGGCAGGCTCCACCATCAGTCCACTTGCTCAGTGGGAGATCTGTCCGCTGATCCCTGCTAAACAGGCAGATGGCTGGTCCGCTTTCGCTCTGCTTATGCAGAGCGGACACAGACACAGCCCACTCTCTTCTATGGGTGGTTGGATGTAAAAGGACCGCCTGCCCATTTAAACCCATCTGTCGTCCAATTCACTAGACGGATAGGGAGCGGATCTGTTTTTAGCGGATCAAATTGGATGTAGCCGGGTGTAAATGGACACGGTCGCTCCATAGAGGACAATGAAGGGTCCGATCGAGTCTGCCTGAAAAAGTGACAGGTGGACCTGATCAGTCCCTTCGGGTGAAAGGGGCCTAAATGCCCTCCACCAAATACAACATTAATCATTTTAAGTTGTCAATTTAAAAATTTGGTGTATAAAGATAGTTGCTTTTTGAACCCAAATGAAATTTGCTGCCTCCAATGTGCTTACTAGAGTTGTGTTGGCCACATTAACATCAGTGGAGATTTTCAACAAACCAACTTGCATTGCTACCTTTGTTAAGCAAAATCGGTAGAGTTATGAAATAATCCTTTTAGTGTCTGATATCTTCACAGCTGTGATCTAGAGGATAAATACCTCCAAACGCCATATTCTACATTTAATAATACATTCAAAAATTTGAGTTTACATTTTGTTTTTTCCTTCCTGTGGTCTTATACTGTATACTGGGGATGTAGAACAAAATTATGCTTTTAATCAAGGGTTTAAAACTGAATTTCACTAGTTTATATAGTTAAAATTATTTGCATCTCCATCGCACAACTGTTTGTGATCTATTTATTCCTAGTATGACATAGGAACATATCACAGCGGTCCTACAGAGAACTACACAAGCCTAACATGGGGCACTTTCCAGCAAACTCACCAGGCGCATTTATATGTATATGTTTTAGGTCTGGTGCAAGTTTACCTTCTTACTCACCGAGTTACCATGTTGACAGAGACGTGTACGCTAACACAGGTAAGTCAAGGTTACATAGTCGAGGATCACTGTTGTGTTAGCAAAGGCATCTTCAGTATGGCTGCCTGTTGTGTTGTAGGAGAGCGTCCTTTTGAGTGTGACATGTGCGACATGAAGTTTATTCAGAAGTATCATCTGGACAGGCACAAACGGGTCCATAGTGGGGAGAAACCGTTCCAATGTGAGAGATGTAAGCAGGTATGTCAATCTATATTTCTTTTTTCTCAGCCTCAGCCCAAGACTGTTTTGCACATTTTGCCAGATTATTCTTACATGCCTTGCTGAAAGTATCTTGTTTTAGAGACAGAGTTCAAGCTCTACCACTTCAGTCCCCAGTCAATTCTGACAAGCCTCTGCTACATGTAACAATCAGCATTTTTTTTTTTTTTTGCTAGAAAAGTACATAGATCCCCCAACATATTTTTTTAAAGCAAAATCCCTAGAGAATAAAATGGTGGGTGTTGCAATTTTTATGTTACGCCGTATGTGTGCAGTGATTTTTTTTTTTTGCAATAGAATACCACATTTTTTGATAAAATATAAAAGATGGTACGCCAAGTAAATAGATGCCAAACGTCACATTGTAAAATTGTGCACACCTGTGGAACGGCGACAAACTATGGTACATTAAATTATCCATAGGCAATGCTTTAAAAGCCTTTACAGGTTATTACTTTAGATTGACACAGGAGGTCTGGTGCTAGAATTATTGCTTTGGGGGTGATATCTCACATTTGTGGTGCGATTTGTGGTTTACATGTGTGCGGGACTGACTTGTGTGTTCACCTTTGTTCACGAGGACGGGGCTAATATTTAAATTTTATTTTATTGTTACACTGTACTTTACATTTTTTTAAATCCTTTTTATTGCTATCACAATTGATGAACAAACAGTGCAACATCCCTTGTGATAACATGGGCCATGGCAGGTCTCATGGACCGCAGATCTCTCCTCTGACTCCAGAGCAGCAGATGAAACTGAGATCGGTTTGATCTGCTACACAAACTGGCAATGGTTTGTAAACAAAGGAACCGGTTTCTGACATCATAGTGGGAGGAGCAAGATCAGTTCCTCTCCGTATTCAGGGAAGCTGATGCCGTCTGGGCATCCTTACCGAGCTCCCCACTCGGGAGAGTCTGGTAAAGGCAGCGGCAGGAGGAGGTGGGACCTCGTTCCGCAACCTGTAAAAGTAATCCAGTGGCTTCTTAGAAGGAAATCATTAGCTGAAAAAAATAATCTCTCAGTCATCGCTGCATTGATGACTGAGATATCACCTTTCCAAGCCAGCGACGTACAGGTACATCGCTGGGCATCAAGTGGTTGAATTGAAACACACAGCTGAATGATCAGAGGAATGACCCCCTTCCACTTCTCTGCCTGCTCTGTTCAGATGTGGCTGTACAGAGTTTTCAGCCAGAGAGAGACTCTGAAAGGAAGTGGTTACTACAAATTGAAGATATGTGGTCAGAATAATAGCTTTGTAACTACCATTTTCAAAAAGAGGCTATCAATGGCGACCGCTATATGTCTCTCATTGTGTCTCATTACTTGAAAAATTAAGAGGCCAGTTTGCTGTTTTTTGGGGGTTTTTTCTTCATTTTGGTAATTGCTGGCTAATTCTATCATTCAAATAATTTCTTTATTATGATCACTAAGATCTTCTGAAAGGGTGGGCATATGACATGGTGAATACAGTCAACCAAAAAAGTAAAAGCACCAAATTAAAAACAAAAAAATGTCCTGCGTATACACTTAGCTGTATCATGTTGATTAACCACTTCCAGTCTGGACACTTTTACCCCCTTCCTGTCCAGGCCAATTTTCAGCTTTCAGTGCTATCACACTTTGAATGACAATTGCACGGTCATGCAACACTGTACCCATATTACTTTTTTGGCATTTTTTTGAGACAGATAAAGCTTTATTTTGGTGGTATTTATTTACCACTGGGATTTTTTATTTTTTGCTATGTAAATTAAAAAGTCCAAAAATTTTGAAAAAAAGTGTTTCTTAAAATTTTGCAAATAGTATTTAATCATAATTCTTGGCCAAAATTTATTCCGTTATATTTTTAGTAAAAAAAATTAGTTTATAACCAAAAATTATAATTTTTAAACATTTATTTTTTTTTATATTATGTTTTTTTTTTTTTTTTTACATACTGTCATCCTAGCAGTACAGTGTCACCATGGTGACACTGTACTACTTGTGAGGGGTGATGAAGATTTTTTTTTTTTTTTTTTTACACTGATTGCTTTTACACCCATAAAGGATGTAAAAGCAATTTCTCCTTCTCTCCAGCTGCATTCTTGCAGCCATTGAGAACTACTGAGTGAGCTGTGATTGGTCACAGCTTGTCACATGGTACAAGGCTGTTGTGAATAGCCTTGTACCATGTGACCTCTGTGATCATTCAGATTTTACATGTAGTAACCAATGATGTCAGAAGTGACATCTTGCTTACTACTCTGCATGTGATCACTGATTGGCCAATCAGTGATCACATGATCGGGACCTCGCACAGAGGGTCCCGTCCAAGGATCAGTATTCCACTGTGTCCGGAGGACACAGTGGGAACCGGATTGCGGTGCTGCACGCTCCCAGGGAGCGTGCACAAGCAGGGTGCGGGGAGGCCGTTTATAAACGGCCACCCGACCCTGCACTGCCACCGTCCGGCCGTTTATATACAACGGCTGGACGGGAGGTGGTTAAGTATATGGCTGGGAAACCGATATTTTGATAAGAATTCTTCATATATAGAGGATGATAGTAATGTATGGGAGAGTCCACTTTCATAGTATTCTAAGTGATTCTATCTTCACAATTTTGATTCCTTGTTGTTTTCTAATAGTGACATAACTTTAAGCGAATATTTCTTTGCACTTCACATGTGTGGTCATCAGTATTGGTTATAGAAGTACAAGTGGGAAAAAATCCTAGGGAATCAATGAGTAGTGAACGATATGTATGAGAACAATCACCATATTCATAGGTATGTCATCAAGATGAATCTAATACAGTGATCATTGATGAATTACTTTAAAGAGGAAAATCTAATTGAATCTAAAATATTACCTTCATCATATCTCGTCGTCATCATGTAAACTATGCTGACAAGAGAGATTGACAATACAGAAAACAGAGATACTCTAAAATCGGAGAACAACCAAATGAAACGACAAAAAGACGAAAGAACCACCCAAAATACTTCCAAAACTATGACAAATATAAATCAAACAAGGAGTCACAAAAAATAAATCTGTTATCCAAATTGAATATTAAAGGAAATACCAATTACCTTAAAGTGATTAACTTATCAAAATTTAACCTTGAATGTAGACATCTTGATTTACTACATAAAGGACTATCATTTTCCCCTACAAGTAAAATAGAACTTTTTGAGGTATTTAAAGACTTGAATCTATTTTTGAGAAACATACTATTGAGAATTCCATTTAATACTGAAAAAATATCTGAACAACTAGGGTTAACTACAGAGGCTGATAAGCACTTAGTGATTTATTAAATCTCCTTGAAGAAGGAACAATAGAGGAAGAAAGGGGTAAGGAAGAAGTAGAAGAGGGAACAACATCTATGAAATGGAAAAGGAATACGAGATTGAAAGTACCCTCAAAAAGGATGCCTAATATTAGTAAAAATCGCTTAGTCTTTTTTTAAAATTTAGTCCATAAAGATCTACAGAAAATTAACTGCGGAAAAAATCACCCAGATAATTTAACTAAAAATGAGAGAATATCTCTTGATGAACTACGTAATGCCAAGGAAATAGTAATTAAAAGAAGTGACAAGGGAGGTAACATAGTACTTATGGATAGTGAAGACTATAAAAATTAAAAGACAACTAAAAGATTTAAGAACTTAAGAAAATTATCTGAAAACTCATTTCTTAAAATAGTTAATATTCTAAATCGTAAAATTATTTGGGCATATGAAGCGAACCTGTTAAATAAACAGGAATATGATATGCTCAAAATTGATACATATAATATTCCTACTTTCTATGCGATCCCAAAAATTCATAAGAACCCACTTAAGCCACCTTGTCATCCTATTGTTTTGGCTGTAAATGGCCCTTTGGAAACGATTGGTAAATATATAGATGACCTAATAAAAGATCTAGTTATTGCCTTACAGTATTATGTTAAAGATACGAGATGTTTTATTTAAAATCGAAAACATTAAGGTCCCAGAGGGTGCACTCGTGGTAGGCATTGATGTAGAATCCTTATATACATCTATCCCACATAAATGGGGTCTTAGGGGGGTAGCTTATTTCCTGGAATTGCATTATCTGGAAATGGGAGCCCAAAATGAATTCATTCACGATCTCCTGGAATTTATGCTCTCACATAATTTTTTTTCAATTCCTGGGAGCATTTTTTCAACAAATATGTGGTACATCTATGGGTGCACAATGGGCCCCAGCTTATGCCTGTCTTCATTTAGGACTATGGGAATTAGATGAGGTTTATACCTCACCACTGTATAAGAGCCATGTTGCACAATGGCTCAGATACATTGATGACGTTTTCATGTTAGGGGAAGGAAATATAGACCAACTTCTGGAATTTCTAACTATTTTGAATCAAAACAATAGGAATATTAAACTAACATAATTTGATGACTATAAGGAAATTTAATTTTTAGATCTATCCATTTCAATTCAAGATTATAGTTTAATCACAAAAACGTATAGGAAAGAAACGGCAGCAAATACACTTTTACATGCAGGTAGCCATAACTCTGAACCACTGAAACAAGGTATACCGATTGGCCAATTCCTTAGAATACGAAGAAATTGTACAAATTAAACTCAATTTAAAATAGAGGCTGCACAAATATATATGAGATTCAGGGAAAGAGGCTATTCACATAGAACCTTGAGGAAGGCAAAATTTAAAGCTTCAAGTAAAGCTCAACGTGAATTACTTGAAAGCAGAGATACTAATAGGATAAAACAAAATGAACCTATCAGGTTTATAACTAAATTTGGTCAACAATGGAAGGAAGTTAAAGTACTGCATTCTCATTGGAATATATTAACAACCAACCCAGGAATAGCTGAGATAGTGGGAAATTAAACCCCAAGTGGTAGCTAAAAACATCTTGTTTAAATGATATTTTGGTACAATCAGAACTTAGAAAAATTCCTAAAGAAAATTGGCTGACAAAAATGGGTAAAACTACAGGTATGTTTCCATGTGGTCATTGTCATATTTGTCCTTATGTACAAAAAAAAAGCCAAAATTTGTATAATGCGGAT